TGAAAATTCACCCATAAGAGGAAAATTAGCTGCTTTCTTACAACTTCAGATACAGATAATCATTTCCTAAGCTTACAAATACAGGACCTCATTCCTGTAGGAGCTGTATGAAAAAACAAAGAGTTTATCTTGTGCTAAGGCTAAAGCTGTTTTCTTAATGACCTTGGGCTCTGCTGACCTCCAGAGGGAGCCCTGTAGCAGTCAAATCTAAGGCATGTCAGTGAAAGGACCAATATTTGAATGGCCAATGTAATGTTTATGGAGTGAGGTAACTAAGACCAAATGCTGCTGTCCAATTTATTAAGATCAATTGTAACAATTTCAGAATAATGAGCACTATGATAAGTAAGCAATCTAGTGCTTTGCCAGTCAGTCTCATGATTTCATGGATGGGAGCAAGTATTCAGCAAAACAGTCTCTAATACAACCATGTGCATCTCCTTTGTTATTATAAATGGCAATTATAGGAATTCAATCAACTCTGCTGCCTGACAAACCCAATATACTTAGAATAGTAGCACACCTTTGGACAGCTACAAAAGCCCACTTTTACAGGTTTCTATGTTATAAATGTAACATAAGCCAATATGAGATCTTGAAATTGAACATTTTCATCCTCAGTGTCTTTGGTACAGGTATTAAGGAGTGATCTGGGGGAAAAAATCTAATATTGGCTGATACAAAGGCCAGAGGATTCGTTATTTCAAATCAACAGAAAATCTAAGTTCATTAACCTTCCATTCCAATGTCCATTTAATAATTCTATAGACCATAGTGAGGCTCAGCACAGGGCTCATAATTTTCAGGTTTACATTCTTGTAAGGGTCTTTTATCCTATCCTTTGAGGATGAAAGTGATGAATACAAAGCTATTGCTTTTTATTTATATAACATCTGTCATTCAATGCAATCCAAAGAACTTCAGAGAATAGATAATGCTTATAGACATCTTAAATACTTTTTAAACAAGGCAGGTTACTAATTAAATCATCAACTCTCTTGTGAACTATGTGTTCCTATTTTTAAAATATGGTTCAACTTTGAAAAAAAATTTATAAAGATAATACTATTTAGGTTATTCAACCAAGAGCTATGCTTGCTGAGTTATGAATTCTAACAAATTTTTCCAGTATCCATCCTCAACTGATAAAGACTGATTTTTTTCTCTTTTTTTTAAAATTTTTTTTGACAGGCAGAGTGGACAGTGAGAGAGAGAGAGACAGAGAGAAAGGTCTTCCTTTGCCGTTGGTTCACCCTCCAATGGCCACCATGGCTGGCCGCTGCGACCGGCGTACCACGCTGATCCGATGGCAGGGGCCAGGTACTTATCCTGGTCTCCCATGGGGTGCAGGGCCGTGCACTCACTCTACTCTTCTGGGAGTATAAAAACATAAGTGAAACAGAGAAGAAAATAGCAGAAAAAGAAAAATCCAAACTAAGGAAACAAGTGGCATTCTTTTTTTTTTTTTTTTCAAAAGATTTATTTATTTATTTGAAAGGCAGAGATACAGAGAGAAACGGGGGGAGGGTGGGAGTGAGAGAAAGAGAGAGAAAGGGAGAGAGAGAAAGTGGAGAGAGAGAGAGAGAGAGAGAGAGAGAGAATTGATCTTTCATCCACTGGTTCACTCCTCAAATGGCTGCTACGGCCAAGACTGGGCCAGGCTGAAACCAGGAGCCAGAAGCTTCTTGCAGGTCTCCCACATGGGTACAAAGATCCAAGCACTTGGGTCACCCTCCACTGCTTTCCCAGGATCATTAGCAGGGAGCTAGAAGTGCAGCACCTGGGACCTGAATCAGTGTCCATGTGCGATGCTGGCACTGCAGGTGGAGGCTTAACCTATGCCACAGTGCCAGCCATGGTGGTATTCTTTTGTAGGGAGTCTCAGAGAGTTGATAAAGGGAGAAGCTTGACTTTTATGGAATTCAAATTTTTTTAAAGATTTACTTATTTATTTGAAAGTCAGAGTTACACATAGAGAGGAGAGGCAGAGAGAGAGAGAAAGGTCTTCCAACCGATGGTTCACTTTTCAGATGGCCGCAATGGCCGGAGCTGCGCCGATCCGAAGCCAGGAGCCAGGAGCTTCTTCTGGGGCTCCCATGCGGGTGCAGGGGCCCAAGGAGTTAGGCCATCTTCTACTGCTTTCCCAAGCCACAGCAGAGAGCTGGATTGGAAGCAGAGCAGCCAGATCTCGAACCGGCGCCTATATGGGATGCCGGCGCTTCAGACTAGGGCGTTAACCCTCTGCGCCACAGCACCGGCCCCTCAAATTCATTTTTAGGGGCAAGCATTGAGCACAGTAGTTAAGACACTGCCTGGAAGCTTGTATACCATATCAGGGTACCTAGGTTTGAATCCCTGCTCTGCTTCTGACTCAACTCCTTTTAATGTGCACGCACTCCGGGAGGCAGAGGATAATTGCTCAAGTACTTGGGTTTCTGTAATCCATGTAAGAGACTCCAGTTGTGTTCCTCACTCCTGGTTCCTGATTTTGGCCTGACTCAGCCCCAGGTGTTGTGGACATCTGGGGACTGAATCAGCACGTGAGATATCTCTTTGCCTCTGCCTCTGTCTCTCCCTTCTTTCTCTGTTGCTCTTTCTTTAAAAAAAAATTTTTTTTTTTAATTTGAAAGTTAGAGTTACAGGGAGAGAGGGAGAGACAGAGAGATTGATCTTCCACCTGCTGGTTCTCTCCCCAAATGGCCTCAACGACCAGAGCTGGGCCAGGCTGAAGCCAGGAGCCAGGAGCTTCTTTTGCCACATGGGTGAAGGGGCCCAAAGACTTGGGTCATCATCTGCTGCTTTCCCAGATGCATTAGCAGGGAGCTAGATCAGAAGTGGAACAGCTGGGAATTGAACCAACACCCATATGAGATGCCCACACTGCAGGTAGCAGCTTAACTCCTATGCCACTATGCTCCCTGATCTTTCAAATACATAAAAATAAATTTTAAAAAGTATATAAACAAACTTTAAAAAATTCAATTACAATCAATTTGTAAGCAAAAATACTAAAGGTTGTTATTTTCTTGACTACATCCCTACTTTTTGCTTTTATTACAAGCAAAGAATAAAATGCAGTAGGCCCATTGTGAACTAACTTTATGCTTCTGCAAAGTAACTGGGGGAATAAAGAGAAAGCACAACAGCCACACAGTGCACTATGACTGATTCATCAGATGTCACTTTACTTGCCTCTGTAACATATTGGTTTCACTATTTCCTGTGCAAACGTGCAGATTGAACAAAAGATTCCCACAAGAGCAGCAGTATAACTCAATACACAGTGTGAGAGCCCAGGAGTCACCTTGACTTAAGTGATCAAACACAGGGCCACTGAGGTCCAGCACTGCCTCAGTGACACACAAAAGAGGAACTACAGGTATTATCCACTATCATCCTAGCCCTTTACATTGTGCCAACTGAAAGTACCATGTTTAAGGAGTGCTTTGATTTCTGTAGTCCTCAGGAAAGCTATAATGAGAGAAACAGCGGAGCAAACCAACTCTGTTCAAGCAAGTTATGCTGTTTATCTGAAAAAGAGGATTTTAAAAATATATTCTAGACGGCCGGTGCTGTGGCTCACTAGGCTAATCCTCCGCCTGCGGCGCCAGCACTCCGGGTTCTAGTCCCAGTTGGGGCGCCGGATTCTGTCCCGGTTGCTCCTCTTCCATTCCAGCTCTCTGCTGTGGCCTGGAAAGGCAGTGGAAGATGGCCTAAGTCCTTGGGCCCTGTACCCGCATGGTAGACCAGGAAGAAGCACCTGGCTCCTGGCTTCGGATCAGCGCAGCGCGCCGGCCGTAGCAACCATCTGGGGGGTGAACCAACAGAAGGAAGACCTTCCTGCCTGTCTAACTCTGCCTGTCTATATATATATATATATATATATATATATATATATATTCTAGACCTCATCCCAGACCTCAGACCATGGCAGTTGGGGCTCCAGGAATCTCCAACATTCCTGATGTTCCCAGAGTGATTACCATGCTTAGCTAAATTTAAGAATTGGTTGTCCATATTTTCAAATATATCTCCAAATTCTACTCAAATTTTTAGTTTTAAATCTTTCTCCCCAGGTTCCAGCCAAAGACAAAATGGGATACTCCTTCCTTTCCCCAACCTTTATATGCACAGAATGTGTATGGAATGCTTTTTGTGCATCACTTTCCAAGCATTTGTTACATTTGATAAATGAAGACAGAAATCCAGAGGTGTCCAGTACCTGGCTCAAATTTGCACAGTGCATTAGTGGGAACACCATGGCAAGACAGCCTGGTGTTTTAGCCTGGTTCACTCCCCAAATGGCCTCAACGGCCAGAGCTGGGCCAGGTTGAAGCCAGGAGCCAGGAGCTTCTTTTGCCACATGGGTGAAGGGGCCCAAAGACTTGGGTCATCATCTGCTGCTTTCCCAGATGCATTAGCAGTGACCAACTGACTTCACCACTTCCTCTTGTTTCTCCCCAGCTCCACATCCTTGCCTGAGTAAGAAAAATGGAGGCTTCCAGGGGACTTCCCAGAAAAGTCAGATACATGGAGCTGGCAATGTGGCATGGCAGGTAAAGCCGTCACCTCTGATGCAAGCATCCCATATGGGCGCTGGTTCAAGTCCCAGCTGCTCCACTTCCAATCCAGCTCTCTGCTATGGCTTGGGAAAGCAGTAAAAGATGGCCCAAGTCCTTGCGGCCCTGTATCCGCATGGGAGACCTGGAAGAACCTGCAGACTCCTGGCTTCAGATGGGCATAGCTCCACCCATTGCAGCCAGCTGGGGAGTGAACCAGTGGATGGAAGACCTCTTTCTCTCTTTGCCTCTCCTTCTCTCTCTGTAACTTTCAAATAAAAAATATATAAATAAATAAATAAATTTTAAAAAATTAAAAAAAGAAATAGCAAGCAGGAAAAGTGATAGAAATAGCCTTTTCTTATGTTCCAAAAAAGCAAGAGAGAACCCAAGTGGGAAACAGAAATAGGTCTCTGGAAAGATAATTTTTTGTCTGTTTATTTTTCTTCCAGGGCTCCAAATAGTTGTATTGGCAGGGAGGCTGCCCTGTAACTGCTCCCTCCTGAAGACTCGGAGGTGTTTACAGAAATCCAAAGTCCCAGCAGTACATTTCCATGAGCTCATGACCAGTTCCAGCTGTACCTTTTAGAATTCATGTGGACAAGTGAGAATCCATGCAGGTCAAACCCCAGCTCTCAGTTTGTGTTTTAATTACAAACAGAGGTGCAGAGGTCAGATATTTAATTACTGCAGCTGCAGTCTACCTTTAGAATCCCTGCTTTGGTCACTGTTATTCAAAGCAACTCCAATGCCATTTCTTGCCTGCTTCTTTATGCTAATCAGCCTAGTCCTCTTGGCCCCTCCTCCTTCCAGCCTCCTTTAAGAACTGTACACTTCCAGCTGTCACCGAGGGTAACTCAGAGCAGACTTAGAAAGCGGTTGATTTAAATCAGCACGACATTCCCCCACCTTGTGTATGCATTATGTTAGCAATCCTCTCTAAATACTGGAGGCATTGGATTTCATGTCAGCAGAAGGAGTCAAAATTGCCAAAACTGTAATCTGTTAGAAACAGCTACTCTGTAGGACTTGAATTTTTAAGGAGGCAAGTTTCAGTTTGCTTTAAAGAGAAATTAAGTGATGTTTGTAGCCAAATGAATTGACATTTTAAATGTAGAAGAAACACTGGTAAATATTTATTTCAAGAGTCATGAGTAGGGAAAATATGGACGTTTATTAGAGGGTAAATGCTTTCCACACAGGAACAGGATCTGCAAGTACCTGTGTGCTGCTCGGTGTTTTGTGAAGATCATTTTAGGTGATTGGCCCAGGGAAGGAAATGCCCCGGTGATCCTGACACCACAGCCGCACTGCTAGTACCATGTCGACTACGCAAACAACAGCCAGCTGCCGCCTGTTCTGCAGTTTGCGCACGTGTAAGCAGAAGCTGCAGGAGGACCAGCCACAGCAAGGTGAGTCCTTTGCGATAGTGAGGGGTGTGTTTTGTCACTTTCTGTCCATTAGCATTCCCGGAAGAATAGTGGGCTGGCAAAGTACCTGGGGAGGTGCTAGTTGCAAAATGCTTTGTAGTCTTCCATTTTTCAGCTCTGAAAACAGACCTAACAGTGATACACAAGAAATGATTAACTTGGACTCACCATTGATTTTTAAAGGACTGTCAACACTCAGTTGACTACCAAGAATATATATGCCTTGGAGCTGTCACCCTGAAACTTACATGCTTAAACTTCTTAAACCTCTGTCAGTACTTTAGATGATGGTACATTTTGTGTCATTTGAAACACCCATCTAGAAATGATTGAATCAGCTGCAGGGAAAATTCAACTGAGAGCAGCTTTACTTTAGCCTTTAGCTTAGTTCTTGTGAATTAGTGGTGTATATCTGGACTTTGTTTAACCCTAATTTTGTCTAGATCTCTGGCTCATTCATCTATGAGAAAATAAAATATATTGTTGGCTGTTTCCCTTTTGTGGTCCAGGAACAGCCGAAGAAAAGTGCCACAGGGGAAAGTGCCACACTTTGCTTACCGGGCATTCATTCAGGCTGACCTACCAGCCATTCTCACTATAGTCTTGTAAAACTTTCAAATCTACTACATTGCCAGCTGCATCAGTGGCAGCTGGTTAACATGAGTAGACAAGATGATCCCTCTGATCCACGCTGTCAGGGACAGCAAAGTCCCCATCGTGGGAACGGCTGGGTGCTCCCATGGATAATGTAATCTCCCCCCAACTCTATTAGGTCAGGGAATTACTATACATTTCTAGTATCTCCTCTACCATCTAGCATGGATCTGTTTATTATGAATCTAGGTTATAAGCTCTTCTTTATTTTTCTAGAGGAAGAGTTTCAGATGTCAGTGGCAGGAAGCGTGATGGCTAAATGACATCTTTTCCCATTTCCATAGTGACTTCTGTGTCCTTACATATGTATGAATGTGTCATGCTGCCTTCCTGTATGAGCTCCCAGAGCTGTATGAAGTGACTTCATGCTATACAAAGCGTGGTACAGCATGAGCACAAAATACTTCATGTTAAATGAAAACAGCCTGTTAGAGCATGCTGTACCATCAGGGCTCAAATAATTTTGAATCAATTGCCTAAGAAAGTAAAGTCCTGGAATGTGCCAGGGTTTAGGCCTAGCCCTGTAAAAAGTTCTTGTGCCTCTATTACCTGGCAATTCTAGCTTATTGTAGGATTTTTGTTTGCTGTTCATTTTGTTTAACACATTTAAAGGTATCTCACCACCAACACACATATACCACCAATTACTGATGTAATATTTATTATAGAAAATCTGGTGAAGGGAGCAAAAAAGAGGTAACAAAGACAAAAACAAAACTCACCACCTATATACAGTTGTTACTAACCTTTTAATGTATATCTTCCAGGCTTTTCTTCCATGCACATGTGTTGATGACTCTTTTACTTCACTTTAAATAAAAATAGGTTTATTCTGTACATAGTGTTTTAAAAACTGCTTTTTAGTTTAACAACATGATGAACACATTTCCATATATTCTACAACTGTATTTTTAAAGGTTGTATACTTCTCCTTCACAGCAAGATTTCCTTAAGTGATTTCCTATGTTGCACAGATGACATATTTCTAATTTTTCATTATTAGAAGTAGCTAGTGAATAGAACTTCGTGTATGTGCAGAAATAGTTTCTCAAAATAAATTCTTAAGAGAAAGAATTGCAGGGGCAAAGGATTATGCATCTTTTTTTAAAAAAATTTTATTTATTTATTTGAAAGGTAGAGTTACAGACAGTGAGAGGGAGAGGGAGAGAGAAAGGTCTTCCGTCCCTTGGTTCACTCCCCAGTTGGCTGCAATGGCCAGAGCTGCGCTGATCCAAAGCCAGGAGCCAGGAGCTTCCTCCTGGTCTCCTGTGGGGAGCAACTCGGACTAGACTAAGTTACTGGAATTAAGACTTATTCTATGCATCTGCTCTCCCACAATATGGCGCTGGGAGAGGAGTAAAAACAGCTTCTACACAGCTGCCTCCAGTTCAACCAATAAACTGTAGGACCTGCTCCTGATTGGAGGAGAGCAGCGTACTCGGCGTGTGGGTAGCAGAGATGGGATTGGTGGAAAAGGACTATAAAGGAGGAGAGAGACAACATGCACCAGGAACATCTAAGGGGAACATCTATCTGAAGGAACACCTGTGCAGCCCCCGAGAGAGCCGGCTGGCGGTGTGCCGCTCCCCCGCGGAAGTGGGGAAAGTGGCTAGGGGGAACCGCCCTTCCACGGAGGTGGAAGGGACGGTAGCCAACCCGGGAAGAACCAGCAGCAAACCCGGGGAGGGCCGAGCAGACAAAAGAACAGCGCAGGGTCCTGTGTCGTTCCTCCACGAAGAGGGGGAGCGACAGTCTCCCATGTGGGTGCAAGGGCCCAAGGACTTGGGCCATCTACTGCTTTTCCAGGCCACAGCAGAGAGCTGGACTAGAAGAGGAGCAGCTGGGACTAAAACCGGTGCCCTTATGGGATGCCAGCGCTGCAGGCGGAGGATTAACCTACTGTGCCATGGTGCCGGCCCCAAAATTATGCATCTTTTAAAAAGTCTTTCTGAACAAATGACCCTCCAGTAGGCAGTGCAAGGATATGTTTCAGTAAAATTGAGCATTATTTTTAAAATTTCTTTCCCAATTTTGTGAGTAGAAAATAATATCTCACTGTAGTTTTAATTTAAGGCAGGCTATCTTGATGGTCTCTCCCTTACTGGCAATATCCGTAGAAGCCTATAAATATCATTATGATGACATACTTCCTAAAATACCAACAAGACTAAGAGTCTGGTCTTCTTTCTCAGACTGAAACTTTTTGCCTAGAATGTTTTGAAAGCAGCCACATTTTTTCACAACCATATCTCAGAATATCTGTCCACATAAACCGCAATCCATGGAGTTTTAAAGCATGCTAATGCACTGCAGACTGGCCACTGACAAAACAAGAAGTATCATCTGGAGATTTGAGCTGACAAATGAGACTGTGTTGTATTTGCTATGCTGTTAAATAGCATTCCAGTTACTGGAATTTAAAAGTTTAAATTTACTCCAGTCCTGGAGTTTAAAAATACGCATTCAGTGCAGGGACCTTGGTTTCTTTTCCAAGCTATATTTACACCTTACTACTATGCAAAGTTCAGCAAAAGTATAAGGAAGCAATGCCACTGGTTTTAGAGAATGAGGTCTGACTGTGGATTTATTCACTGAAGCAACCTGGGTGAGTGGTTCTGGACTTCTCCTAGTCAGACTAATTGTCCAGTTCTCATATTTAGTGTATGGACTGTGATTGGTGGATACTTGCTCCCTCTGAAGATATGGTCAGCTTTAGCACATGCATATTTTCTAACCCTCCATATTCCATTCCAGAATGCTTTATGCTAACTCCTACGTATTTAACTCTTCCCACTTAATCATTCATAAAATCGTACTTTTTGTGGTGATCATATAGATTAAAATCATCTATCATTCAGCAATCAACTGGACTACCACTGTGTGCAAAGTATTGGACCGAATGCTCTGTGTGAATTGGACTAAGTCAACTAAGCCATGGTTTCCTGTCCAAGGGCAGTTTATACTTTGCATGCCACGTGTATACTTTGATGCCATGTCAGTCCAGAACAGAGGCCCAGAAAATTCTCTGGCCTACTTGTTACTACCTTGTAGATCCTCTGTGACCAATTTGTAAATATTAATTTATATAGGTCTATAAGGCATTAGCAAAACTCCTTATATGAACTAGGCAGACAGCTATTTTTATGTTTAATAATGCTTAAAAATTTACAGATGTTTTCACATATATTATCTCATTTAATTTTCACAACAACCAGCTGAAGTAGCATACCAGAATTCTCCTGAGAAACAACCACTATGGTATGTCTGCATGTGTGAATGACTTAATCAAATACATATATGTAATGAAGTTCAATTATATGCATATTTGTGTTTGAATAGAGAAAGATTTATTTGAAGGAACTGACTCACACAATTATGAGAGTGATAGGTCCAAAGTCTGCTGTGTAGGCCAGAGGGCTGAAGACACCAGCAATGAGCCATTCAAGTCCATTTCTTGTTGCTCTGGGGCTCAGGCTTTCAGCTGATTGGGTGAGGCCCACTCACACTGTGGAGAGCACTTGATTCACAGTCTACCAGTTAAAAGGTAAATCTTATACAAAAACAACCTAACAGAAACATTCACAATGTTGACCAAATATCTGGGTACTGTGGCACAGCCAAGGAGACACATAACCATTACAGGTAGGTATTATAAGCCTTATTAATTATTATTTTAAATTTTATTTGTTTGAAAGGCAGAGAGAATGAGAGAAGGAAGGAGGGGGAAAGAGAGGTGGGCAGTGGGCAAGCTCCCATTCACTAGTTCACTCTGCAAATGCCCTCAACAGCTGGAACTGGGCCAGATGAAAGCCAACAGCCAGGAACTCAATCCAGGTTCCCCACATGGATGGCAGGAACCCCGCTCCTGAAGCTGTCAGCTGGTGCCTTTCAGGATGCACAGTAGCAAGAAGCTGGGATCAGGAACTGAGTTGCAACTCAAACTAAGGCACTCTGATAAGGATTGTGGGTGTCCCCCTCAGTGTTTTAACTTCTAGGCCAAGTGCCCACTCTGTTCTCATTTTTAAAAGATGTAGAAACTAGGACTTCTCAAGGTCAAATGACTTTCTCAAGGTCATACAGGATTGCTTTTAACGTACTTTCTATTATACACACATACACACACACATATCTGTTTCTTAAAATCTGTGATTTCTCATGTTATAACATTTAATTTTTTTCATTGATCCACATTAGAGTAACTTCTCTATAGATACCCAAGATACCTTAGGATTCCTCCTGATATTCTTATGTGTTTTTTTCTCAAAGATTAATTTATTATTTGAAAGGCAGAATTACAGAGAGAGGTGGACAGAAACAGATCTTCCATC